GTCTTTGAGCAGAAAAAGCGCGTGGGCCCTATGGAAAAAACCTTAAAAAAAAAAAAAAAAGAAAAAAGAAAAAGAAAAAGAGTAGCCAGGAGGCTCTGGCCCAGAAGACGAGGATTTAGCTCCCACTGGGGACAGGGACGGCAGGGGAAGGCAGTGCCCTAGAAGGACAGCAGCCGGTAAGGGCGGGTGGAGCTGTGGTGGCCATGACCCTTGCTTCCCAACCGCAGGTTAGCGAAGAGGGCCCTCACAGCCCACGGTGGGGACCCAGCCCCGGGGCCCCCACGCCAGGTGGAGCAGCTGGAGCTCCAGCTAGGGCAGGAGACGGTGGCTTGCTCGGCCCAGGTGGTGGGTAAGTGCTCCCCTCCCCGCAGCCCTCCCTCGTCCGCCATTCCCTTCGGGGGCACAGGGGGTCCCAGAGATGCTCTGACCCTCCCTGCTCACTGTGCCAGGGTTGACCTGGGGGTGGGTGGACAGAAGGGAAGAGCGCTGAGGGGCAGCGCCAGGGCGTCTTCAGCGTCTCCTGTCGGCGGTGTCCCCACGGCCCCTGCAGATGCCGAGAGCCCTGAATTCTGCCTTGGACTGCAGACTCTGCTCTCCCTCAAGGTAAGGCACAGCACTCAGTCCCATGTGCTGGGCAGGGCGGGAGCCACATGGCGTGGAGGCTGGGTCGGGTCTGATGACAGACCTGGACACGTGCATTTCCCGTTGCCTCCCTAGAGGTGCCCCACCGCCCACAGGGAAAACCTGAAACCGGGTCCCTTCCTGACAGGGGTCCAGGAAAATGGAACAGGGGGAGGAGCAGAGGGCAGGCGGATGCTGTGGGGTTCACTGGGACAGGACAGCGGGCTGGGCACAGGCTGCCCGTAGGTGCCTCAGTGCCTGGCCTCGCCCCGCAGTGCTGCATCGACCTGGACCGTGGCGTGCTACGGCTGAGAGCCCCCTTCTCCGAGCTGCCCTTCCTGCCTCTGCACCAGGAGCCTGGCCAGTGATCGCCGTCCAGCCGGGCCCCGGGGGAGACGCCCTGCCTCAGGACAGTGCTACGGGGACACAGAGCCAGGGAGTGGGATGCCCGTGCCTGCCTCTCTTCTCAGCACCCAGACCCCTGCCCCACTTCCGCCGCATGTCCTCCCTGCTTCTCGGCAGCTGTCCTATTTCCCGGGAGGCTGCCCGGTGCCCCCTTCTAGCCAAGCAGCGCACAGGCAGATCAGGACTGCAGATCTAGGCACAGGGGCTCCAGGCTTGGCCCTTGGTCTGGAGGGAGCTGGCTGGAGTTAAGGGACAGCAGCTGCTGTCCCCACCTGGCCCCCAGCTCTACCCCAAACACTACTCACTGCCCCTACTCCGTCTCCCTACCTTCTGGGGGCCATCATTGCCCACAGTGGGCCAGCCTGGCCCCCACCCTTTCAGATGCTGTGCACGCCTGCTCACAGTTAAGTGGGGGGAGAAATTAAACAGAAGAAGCAGAGGGCTGGCTCCGTGGCCTGGTAGTTAAGGCGGCTGGATCCCACAGGGCCAGTCCCCTGGCAGCTTGAAACCCGTGCCAGGCATGTGTGGCGCGTCTGAAGTCCTGACAGGATGGAGAAACGCGGAAGGCGCCGTGGCATGACCATGCCCGTGAGCCGTGTTTTCTCCCTCCCTGTCTCTGGCGAGTACACGGGCCCCTGGAGAAACCCGAAGCGAAAGAGTCATTCTATACCAGGCAGTGAGGGGTCCGAGAGCAGCTCGGAAGGCCGAAAGCGCTCACAAGTCCCTTCCTGAAGCCAGGTATGGCTGACCTTGCCGTGCGAAGCCTTGGCTGTCCCTCCAGATCCCCTCCTGATAGTCCTCCACTTGCTTTCTGCCTGCTCCAGCCCTGAACCACGGGCGTGTGTGGACGAGCCCTGCAGAGACACACCCCTCCATGTGGACAGGTGGGGGTTGCCTGCACTCAGACCGAACCTCTCCCCTGCTTTTTTAAGAGAGAATTTTGCTACAAGGTGCATGAGCTCACTGGAGAGACCGAGAGATGGAAAGCAAGAAATCACCCTTGGGAGGATGGCCACGCCACAATTCCTTCCCCTCTGCAGTCCTCTCGGGATTTCGGGCACGCACGCGCACGTGCCGGCCTGAGTTAAGCAGCCGGATCCAGGAATCAAACCGTGGTTGACCATGTGGGAGTCGACGTAATCATTACACATCTGCTGGTCCCTCCTGTGCTTTATTTCACCCTTAGACCATCTCCCTACCCCTGTCACTGGTCTCCTGAACGCAGGTGTGTCCTGTCCTAGAGGCAGTGGCTGCCGTACCCCTCCCGTGTCCTGTCCTAGAGGCAGGGGCTGCCTATCCCCTGCCAGGCTCTGAGCCAAAGCAAAAAGACAGAGGCTCTTGTCACTTCGCTGTGAAGAGAAAAGCCAACACTCAGAAGCCAGCCCCGAGTGTCTGGCTGGTCTGTCTCTCAACTCATGGATGGGGGTGGGGTGACTGTAACTAACCTGAGCCAGGGGACAGGGACCGTGGACTGGGGACCAATCCTGAGCTGGGGTGGGCTAGGTTAGAGAAGAACCAGGATGTGCGGAGCTGCCCTCACACCTGCCTTTCCTTTCTCGGGAGCCCTCCTGCCCCAGGGGAGGGGAGAGGCCCACTTACGTGTCCGAGTCCGTGCTGCAGCGCCTGCGGGAGTCCCTGTCCCTGGTGACAGGGCGGATGCCCTGCCCCACAGCCCCTGCCTTCCCAGTCTCGCCTGCCCTGCCATGGCGACTGCAGCCCCGGGGCCCACAGGCAGGCCCTGGTTCCATTGCTCCTGTCCCAGTAACCCTCGCTTCTCTATGCTGCTGACCTTCCCTGCCGTCCTCCCCGCCTGCCAGGAGCTGCCCGGGAGCTGTCCCGACTCCTAAATGGTCACTCTGGGTGGCCACCACCCTTCCAGCCCAAGTCAAGTCCTGCTCCTCCGCAGCGCACGACCCCTACCCTGCCAGCACTAGAAAGGGAGCATGGATGTGGGCCCCGCCCCAGGACGACCCACCTGACTGGGGCCAGCGAATAGTGAGCCACGGCCCCACACTCCTCTGAAAACTTGCAGTGGGAAATGCAGTGACGCTGCCCCAGCGTACACACACATACCACACACACCACACAGACTACACACACAGACTACACACACACACACCACAGACACACACACACCACACACACCAGACTACACACACCCCACAGACATACACACACCACACACACCAGACTACACAGACTACACAGACCACACAGACTACACACAGACTACACACCCCCCCCAGACACACTCCCACATATAGACCATACACACACAGACCACACACACCCCCCAGACACACACCCCACATATAGACCATACACACACAGACCACACACACCCCCCAGACACACACCCCACATATAGACCATACACACACAGACCACACACACCCCCCAGACACACACCCCACATATAGACCATACACACACAGACCACACACACCCCCCAGACACACACCCCACATATAGACCATACACACACAGACCACACACACCCCCCAGACACACACCCCACATATAGACCATACACACACAGACCACACACACCCCCCAGACACACACCCCACATATAGACCATACACACACAGACCACACACACCCCCCAGACACACACCCCACATATAGACCATACACACACATACCACACACACCACACAGACTACACACAGACTACACACACACATACCACACACACCAGACTACACAGACCACACAGACTACACACACACACACAGACTACACACCCCCCCCAGACACACACCCCACATATAGACCATACACACACATACCACACACACCACACAGACTACACACACACCCCACAGACACACACACCCCACACATAGACCATACACACACATCAGACTACACACACAGACTACACACACACCCCACAGACATACACACCCCACACATAGACCATACACACAGACCACACACACACACACACACAGACACACACACACCACACACACCAGACTACGCACAGACCACACACACACCCCACATACACACCCCACACAGACCATACACACAGACCACACAGACCACACACACACACACACACCGACTACACACACACACCAGACACACCACACACCAGACTACACACAGACCACATAGACTACACACACACCCCACAGACATACACACCCCACACATAGACCACACACACACCACAGACCACACACACACCACAGACTACACACCATGCAGACTACACACACCCCCCACAGACACACACCCCCCCACACATAGACCATACACACACACCATAACACACACACACACCACACACAAGACCACACACACCACACAGACTACACACACACCATACCACACACACACACCCCACACAGACCATACAACACATACACACCACACACACCACACACACACCACATACACCACACACACATACACACCACACACACACCACACACATACACTCACACACCACACACACACACCGCACACAGACCACACACACCACACACACACAACCACACACACACACACACTTCCCTGTGCTGTGAACAGTGCCCTCGAGTATTTTCCATTTCATTTTTATTTCATTTATTTAAAAAATGCTAGCCACAACCTACCAAAAAAAAAATTGCAACCTACAATTTGAAAAACATGGATTTCCACCACAGAGAATCAAGAACAGAAGGAAGATGAATGGGGACCAACAGATGGCCTAATGGTTACATTGCTGGACTCCACGTATTCGAACACGGTTTGAGTCCTGGACCTGGCTGCTTGAAACTCACGCCAGGTGTATGTGTGTGCATGTCCAAAATCCTGAGAGGAGAATGGAGCAGAAGGGACTGTGGTGTGGCCACCCCTCTTAGAGGGTGATTTCTCACTTTCTGTCTCTGTCTCTCTCCGGTGAGTGTACACGCCCTGTAGCAAAAATCTCTTAAAACAAACAAAAAAAAAGGAAGGCGCATGGCCCCGGGGATGACTGGTGTAGCTCACAGACCTGCGTCAGGCAGTGAACGTCTGCAGGCTCCCAGACGAGCAGGTGTTCAGGGCTGGGGACATGGGAGCAAGGCCGTGGAACAGAGCGACCCTTAACCAATGCGGCAACACAGGAGAGGAGGCAGGCCAGCTGCCCATGAACGGAGGAGAGCCGCCCCAAGGCTGCTAGGAACACGGGGAGGAGTGACACGGACTGTCCAATGGGGGTCCCCCATGCGGCAGTGATTACTCATGGCCATGACTCAGTGGTGCCAGGACAGACGCAGCTCGGCATGGGTGCAGCAGCCCTTGTCTCTACCACTCCCCAGGCCTCAAGCCTGCTTTTCCCATGGGTACTGGGGCCGTGCAAAAGCTGTGTGCTCCCTGCTCACAGTCTGTTTTCTCCAGTGAGAGCGGGGAGCTCGGGAAGGCGGGTGTGTGTGCACGGGTGTCTGGATGATCTGGAACAGGGCCAGGGTCCGGCTGATGCGATGGTGAGGTTCACCAGGAAACGGGCAGAGGCTCAACTTGATTCTCCTCCACCATGAGATCTGTAGTTCATGGTCACCTTGGGGTGGCTGCCGTCCTCCCAGGCCCAGAGTCAAGACCTGCCCCTTCACAATATTCATCCATGCGTACCTTTGGGAGTGGGGTGGGGGTTTGGAAAGGTCCCTCACCATGAAGAGGGCAAGGCCAGCTAGGTGGGGTCCTGAAGGCTTGAGGGGGCACACGGTGGCGACTGGTCTGGATGGTAGAGCGTTTGGTGGAGCAGGGCGCGGGCTGCAGGGAGGTCATCAGGATCTGAGGGCCAAGAAGGGCGGGTGAGAAGCTGCGGTTTCCAGTGCCTGGGCCGCGGACTGCCCGGGACTCACCCACACCCAGCTCCAGCAGCAGGCTGCGGTACTCGGGCTCAGCCTCCAGAATCTTGAGCAGGTTGGTGGACTCCATGCGCTCCAGCCGCACCTCCCAGTACACGTAGATCTTCTGGTTGAAAGTGGCGTACACCAGGCAGGGGCTGTTGCGGCCCTCCTTGCAGGCGTACAGACCTGGGGGACGCGGGCGGAGAGGCAGGTCCAGAGCGCCGGTCCCAGTGCAGGGAGGGCAGAGCACGGGGCAGGCGCTGCACTCAGCAGCACCGCCCTCGCGCAGACACCAAGAAACAACCAAGGCTCTCTTTCTATTTCGGCTCTGTCGAGAACTCAGGGAAGTGAGAGAAATGGAGATCTGGGCCAAGCACAGGCAGGGACCAGGCAGAGCAGCCTCCGGGAAGGCGGGATTGTTGATTTTCCCGTCTTGGGGACCTCCCTGGGGTCGCGAGGGACAGCCTTGCTAGCCCAAGGGGCAAATCAGCAGAGCCTGATCAGAAAGTAGACTGCTCTCAGGTGTCACCCCTCTGTCCTATGACATTAACCACGTGGAACACGTCGCTTTCTACATATACAGAAGTATGTACGAGGTAAGAATAAAACAGTAAATAAATAATAAACTGGGTCACTGGAAAAGCCACGACGTATCTTCCTGGTTCTCTGAGGACTCGACACGAACCCTTCAGTACGTACAGGAGGGTGCGCCCTCATCCCACCAGCCCTCATCCCAGTAAGCAAGCACGTCCCCGGTCACCCAGGAAGGCAGTGCTGCTTTCCAAAGGCCCCAATCTGGAGCCAAGCAGACGCTCTGGGGAAGCTCTCTTCAGAGTTCGGGCGTGCTCAGAGGGAAGAGCTTCCTGAGGCCTGCACACACCCAGAAAGACGCATAATGAGAACTCGTTCTCTGAAATATTCTGAGGCAGAAAATGCACTGCTTATTCTTGAAAACTGTCAAGATGGGGACCAGAGGATGGCGTAATGGTTACATCACTGGACCCCCACATAGTTGGAGCGGTTTGAGCCCTGGACCTGCTGGCTTAAAACTCACGCTGGGTGTGTGTGCACATGTGTGCCCAATATCCTGAGAGGAGAATGGGAGAGAAGGATTGCAATGGACCATATTCCCAGAGGGTGCTTTCTCGCTTTCTGTCTCTCTGTCTCTATCTCTCCAGCAAGCACATGAGCCATATAGCAAAAATTTCTCTTAAAAAAAAAAAAAGAAAGAAAACCTGGGACCCGCAGTTGGTGTAATGGCTATGTCACTGGACACCCATGTAGTTGACTGCAGTTCGAGTTCTGGGCCTGGTGGCTTAAACTCATGCTGGGTACATGTGTGTGCAAGATCCCGAGAGGAGAATGGAGGAGAAGGGATTGAGGCGTGGCCATCCCCCTGGGGGGTGATTTCTCGCTTTCTGTCTCTGTTTCTCTCTGTCTGTCTGGCGAGTGAACACGCCCTATAGCAAAAACTTCTGGAAAAAAAAGAAAAAGTAAAACACACCTGTCGAGATGGCAGAGGGGTAGCTACCTCGCCTCCCACGGAGAGCTAGAGAACTCATTTGTCCATGGAGACGTACACCAAGGCTCGCCGAGAGCAGACTGGTGACCACTGCCAGCGTCCCGAGCACACTTAGCTGACACGTGGGGATGCAGGGCCGGGGAGGGGACCCACCTGCACAGAAGGCGCGGATGTTCTCATCCACCTGGAAGCGAACGACGGTGCGGCTGTGATCAATGATGTACGTCTGTCCGTCCCAGGCGCAGGCGACCACCTCCTCACGCCCGTCACCCTGAAGACCGGGACAAGGAGCGGGAGAAGCACACGCTAGCTTAGAGAGAGATCCAGTGACAGGAGACGTAGACGAGCTGTCCCCAGACGGTAGCTGCTGTACGGGAGGCTCACGCCCGCCGTACGAGGCATTCGGTGTTCCTTAATGGTTTCCGGTTCTACTCTGGGCAAGCTTCGGCCTAGAGACACCAAGCCTCTCGCTCAAGGTGCTCTGCCGGGAGGCAGCAGTCTGGACCAGAACCCTGCCTTCAAAGCCTCAGGCCTCCTCTGGGCCACCAGGCATGGGCGACGGTGGCAGAGCAGCCTGTGTGCCGACTGGGGCCGCAGCGCTGCCCAACAGAGCCGCTGACATGGGAAAGAGAAAACGGTGCTACTGGAGGCGGGCTGACCCCCACCGCGGACTCACGGCCGGCTGACCCCCACCGCGGACTCTCGGCCGGCTGACCCCCACCGCCGACTCACGTACGTCCCTCCCTCCGGGCTAGGACTTCTGCAGAGAGGTACGGAGACGAGACCTCCCTGCAGCACAGCAGAGAGCAACGTCGAGTACGACGGAGTAGGAGGGGGCAAGTTCAGCTCCGACGCATTTGGACCTCCTAACCTAGAGCCTCGAGATCCGGACCGCGAGCTGACGGGGCAGCCTGCTCTCCCGACGCAGGGGCAGGGGCAGGGGCAGAGGCAGAGGCAGGAAGGCTCTGCTCCGCCAGGTTTCCCTCACCGTGACGTCTAGCTTCTCCAGGGCGAAAAGCTGGTGGTCCA